ACCAGCCACGCGATCTGTCAATCGCCTGTGGCATCTGCCACCTCCCCACTTCACTGCTGTCGGCCGTGTGCCAGCTCCATTGCCCGTCAGGTGTAATGCACGCGCTGGTCCACATTGGCCATCTTCCGCGCCAAACCTGACAGGACGTCGCCCGAGTCGTGTAGATAGCGCTGCACCGCTGACGATGTCCATCGTCCGGTCCTCTTGACCACTTCAATCTCCCCGGTGGCTTGGTAAAGCGCCGACGCTCCACCAATTCGTAGCGAATGGGACTGGAAGCGCTCTGCCGGCAAGCCGAGAGCTCGTGCCGCTCTCTGCAAAAGGTTCTGGACCTCCAAGCGCTTGAGGACAGGTCCCGAAGCCCACCGGAACAAGGGCATGTGACTCTCTGGGCCCCGCCCAAACCTCCTCGGTGCCACTTCGCGTAGTCGGTGAAGCGCAGTGACCACACACACGAACTCGACCTCCGTCCTCAGCATCGTCTTGCACGTCCCGAAGGCCTCTTGATCCGCCTTGGTCTTGCGGAACTGCAAGGTCACTTCCTGAGGATCATTCTCGTCGGGTTGGCCACGAGTTGTGAGGGATACATCTTGCCCCCCTGACGATCATCTCCTGATCCACCCCGCTGGAGTCAGAGAACTCCCTGGCCCGAAGCATGAAGAACCAGGCGGTGACCACCGCTGCATGCACCATCCTGCAGTCAACCTTGAGCTCGCCCATGGCGTCCGCTCCTGAGGCCATCTGTTTGCCAAGCCACTTGATCATCTGGACCGTGACACCCAGCCGCCTTGGCTTCTTCACTGAGTTCTTCTCCAGCGAGTTGAGAACGATCCAAAGACGGTGCATCTTGACCGTCGTGTCACCATGCCCGGCTCTCTTGCGTGCGTCCTTGATGGCGAACACTGCCTGCTTCATCGTGGCAACTGACGTACTCAGCCATCCCAAGAAGCCCAGGTAGCCCAGGACCTTGTTCTCATTGTGGATCGGGTCGCCATTGTGGTCGAGGAAAGGAGTTAGCCAGCCTTGCCGTCGGCTCCAATCACACCATTTGCCCCAAGCGGTGGCATATGCTTTCTGGGTGCTGGCTGCCTTAAACCCACCAAGTGGGCTTCCAACCACTCCTCCACCTGCGCCTGGATCTCCATATCTGGATTGAAGTCCGGGTCGAGGTCGATGAAACGAGCACCGGTCTCCTCCACCGGCCTCACCTCCTTCCTGCGGCGACCTCCGCATTTCCGGTCCTCACTGCTTCCGAAGGTCATCTCGTCATCCTCGAGGGCGCCAAGCCACAACTCCTCACCCCAGAACCACACCGATCGCATCTGATCATCACGGCCTCCAGCCTTACGATCTGGTAGTGCTCGCCTGAAGTCTCCACGACGCCATCTCCTCAGCCACTGCAGCAAAATGCCCAATGACTTGTAATCCTCCTTGTCGAGGCACATCCCTGCCTTGCTTTCCTTACCCTCTTTCACAATCTCCGCAGCGGTGCTGATCAGGCTCAGAGCAGTTCGACGGCCTGTAGCCCGGCAGCCTTCCTTCTCCGCTTCCTTCTCCCCGATCAGCTCCACCAGGTTCCTCCACTCGTCCAGGCGCCTGCCCTGCAGCACCCACACCTCCTCGCCCGTGATGCTCCTCACCTTGCCCACCGGGGCGGTCTTGTCCTGTACTAGGATGCGTTGCGTGCCCTTCTCTGAGGAGTCGGTGAGGGGCCACCGGCAAGGTCCACTCAAGGAATAGACATTCTGCCTCTCTCCGTCCTGCCTGATCCACGCATGGGCTGTCACCACCGGGAGCATGACCTCTTGGCCCACATTGATGGCCGCCTCATACCGTTCGGTCTGAACGCAATTGCCTTCCTTGAGCTTTTTCAAGTAGGACCCCATCGCTGGCGGAGTAACCGACTTCACCATCAAAAACTCGACCGCCTCTGAGGACTTTTCCGTGGGGAAAACGAAGCCCGCGACCCTTCTCCTCACCATAGCTTCCCCAAGCTGGGACGTGAGGAACTCCTGGAACACACAGCTCCATCCCACACTCTTCGCCCATTGCTCCAGGTGCGCCCATCGCACCTCGGTCGGTCCCTCCAAGACGGCAATGTCAAAGACCTCACTGTCGAGGTAGGCCGTGAACTCCGCCACTCGCCTTCCTTTCGGGTCAGGTCCGATGGTGGCTGCTATGACCTTGTGCTCCGGATCCCTGGCTCCCCCAGTGAAGTATTCGAAGTCCTTGACAAATCGCTGGCCCGGGGTCCATTCGACCACCTCTACCTCTCTCAGCTCGGCTGGCTGTCGGAGGACGGTTCTGAAGACCCGTAGTTCCCTCAACCTCATCAACTCATATCTGTCCTCCTGATCTGCCCAGGACAAAAAGCACAAGCCAAACCGCTCCGTGTCCTCCAAGGCCTGGTGGATGCTCTCCTTGATGTCCAGCTTGTCCCAACCCTTCTTCACCATAAGCTCGTCCGCCTGCTTTTCCTCCAAACGGGTGAGGGCGTCCGCATCTTCATTGTGAAAGGTCCTCCACCAACCCCCCCAAGATGCGGCAGCGATGGCGCTTCTCAACCAGGTTCAAGACACGGATCAACAATCTCCCGGCCCGGACTCCACTCTTCCTCCCGGTAATCCAGAAGTAGACGACCTTGTTGTCCCCTGCATAGACGACCACTCTGCCCTCCCACAAATGGCCAACCTTGCAAGCAAAGGCCACGAAGCTCAGCATCTCGCCCAAATGAATGGCGAGCTTGCCGCCCTCTTGCCCTTCGGCCTCTGTAACCTGCCGAATCCATGGCTTCAGGGTCTCAACATCCTCACGACAAGCCAGGCCATTGGTCCAATCAATGGCTGCAACCACCTCCGGCGTAGCGTCAGAGGAGACGAAGATCGGGCCTTCCCCTTGCTGTCCAGGCAAGGCCAAGCGGTCCAAAGGCGGGAGCAACTCTCTGATGTCGCCCCCCAAACTTCGTAGCCCACGTCTCTGAACGGGCACACAACCACCTGCAATCCTCGAACAACTCCCAAAGGGCCTCCCAACTTCGTTCCTCCTCATCCACCCGAGCTTCGGACCCTTCAGGCTGGGCTAGTTTAGGTTGAACTGCGGCTCCTCCATCGACTCCTCCAAGGAACACATCTGCACTGCGGAGCTCGTTCTTGAGTCCAGTGACAACGGTGCTCCAACCATTGGCGATACCTCGGAATCGTTGTAGCTCCTTGAGGGGAAGGTTTTTGTCCCCGTAGTTGAAGCACGGCTGAGCCAACAAGTAAGCACCCTTGAGAATCCGGGCCTCGGGCAAGGACACCCTCTCCGTGTCCGCGTCGATGATCAGGCCCCAGACTGTCTGCTGGTTACTGGTAGCACCCTTCTTCCGCATCCTTGAGCTTGTTGATGGCCTTCTCCCCTAGGAGTTGCGTCACCGCCCACTCGTACACCTCACTGGACACCCAGGGCCTCAATCCCATCACGGGCACCATGTCATCGACCAAGATCTTCCCGCAGAAGTGCAGCTCTCCATCTCTCCTGCTGTCAATCGGGCGGAGGTTGCGGTGGACTTCCTCCGTAGCACGCCCCCATGCCGTCCATTCGCCCGGGGAGCCCGAGAACCCAAAGCTCGAGACCAGGTAGATGACCGTAAGATCTCCCAGCCCTTGAAACTTGGCCGCCGACCCTCCCGGTCCCATCAACTCTGGCCTCCATGGGACGTCACCCGCAAACAGCTCCACATCCCTGGGATCAACCCATAGTAATCTGAAGGCACCAGCCACGTCTTTCTTTGCCAAAACGACCTTGATGCCGGGGTATCTCGCCTTCAGCCACAGAATGCGCCTTGCCACCTGCTCATGGGTCGGCTGTGCCGCAGGCGGGTGAAGATCCTTGTGGGTTCCTCCATTGACCTGCCGTTGATCATGCACCAGCCTAGCTTCGGTTGACAAGGGCCGATTCGGTAGCATCTTGGGAACCAGTTCAAAGGGTGAGGAGACCGTATGCTTCAGGGCTGAATGGCTCGCTGAGGCGACCAGAACTCGGTGCTTTGCGATGTCCTTCATCAACTGGACGTACACTTGGCCCATATCTGCCCTCGCCCGCGGGTGTGGTCGGGTCGTCACTCGCTCCCTCTGCCCTTGGTACCTGGCGGGCATGCCTTGAGCTCGGATATCTCGAAGGTAGGCCAAATGATCTGGATGCAACAACTTCGTGAGCTCCTCACTATCGGCCCCTTGCAAATTGTTCCGGCCCAACTGCTCCCGCGCCACCCAAAGTGCCATCGCTGCCTTCTCAACTGAGCCTGTCAGGTCCAACAGCAGATCTCCCCGTTCTCGCACGGCTTGCCAGTCCTGAGCCCCGTTTCCTTGGATCTTGTCAACCTCCTGGATGTAGCCCAAAGCCGCCGTAGCCGCCTTGCCCGAGATGCCCTCCTTCTCAAAGTCGGTCCAGCTGTTGCCTCCTGCCCTGCCCTCGTGCCTCGCCACGACCACGAGTGCCAACCTTGCCATTGGCCACTGTCATTGAGGCTTTGCCAATCATTGGAGCCCCCTGAGTGCCACTGGTGCCGCCAGTCATCATCACCGCCCCCTGGATCTTCACCTCCTCCACCGGCATCGGGGCCCCCGGGGCCATCCACAGGCAGCTCAACCCAAGGGACCTGCCCATCCGCGAAGACAAAAAGGGTAGCTCCCGTCCAGGGCACGATCGGTGGCCTGCCTCTCCCTTGGACCCTCCAGTCATCATAGACCTCGGCCACTTGAAGACGACCCCACTCGTCTCGGGTTTCACATCGGGTGTATCTTTCACTGTGGAATCGATGCGGCCAGTACGGGTAGGGCAGCTCCTCTGGGACCACCAGATCATTCCTTGCCTCGTTCGTATGGACCCACGCATAGCCCCTTTCCGCGTCCACTTCCATGCGGTTTCGGAGCCCCAGTCCTGCCACACAATTCTCGTGCTGGGTTCGCCTTCAGTCTCAGGGCATGGCTCAGTGGTGTCCTCCCCTTCAAAGTCCTCCTCATCCTCAACCACCTCTCCTTCAGGTTCGTCCCGTTGTGGATTGTTGACCTCGACACCATTCCACACCCCGAGCGCCTCGTCCACGGCCATCCCAGCGACTTGCTGGAGTTCATCTTCATTCAGGTACTCAAAGTCCTCGAGACCGGCCTGGCCACCCTCGTCGACCACGGGCTCCTCCTCGTGCGCAATCTCCCGGTCATTCCAGCCGTATGGATGGCGTCCCCCAGTCTTTGACAAAGGAGGTTGTGGTTTTGACCCCCCCCCCCACCAAGGTGTGCACCAGGGTCTCGACGACAGTCCGGACGAAGGCCTCCGCATAGACGCCAGCTTCCGTGCACCGCGACACCTGCACCCCTGGTCGATTGCCCTTCAGGGGGATATGCTGGTGAGTTCCTGAAACACCAGGGCAGAGGCGGAGCAAAGCTTGCCGTAGAGGGGGATGATGAGGGAAGGCCAACCCGGTACGATGACGGTAGAAGTGGCCCGGCATGTCTGGTGGCCCCAAACCAAAGGCACACATGTCGATCTCAATGAAGTCGACGTCCGGGCGTTGCAGCAAACGGCGCCATTGAGGTAAGTGCCATTGCTTGGGATACCTGCCCGATGTGCCAGAGCTTTCGGCAATAGGGAAGCCACCTTGCAGGAGAGAAGTCTCAAACACCCTCGCGCCATATTCCGACAAAGCATTGCCAATCTGTTCCTTGGCTGTTGGTTGCCCGGCAGGGTTCTGGAATGTTCGAGTCCCTCCGTTCTGCAGACACCAATCGCAGAAGCTCGTACATGGGCTTGCAATCCACTGCACATTTGAGTCCTGTGCCTTCAGCCGGCTGATGAAGTACTCCTGGCGGTGCGGGTCGGACAGATCATGATCTGGACGTGGTCCGAGTTGCTGATGCGGTTGTGCGTAGAGCTCGATGGGCTCCAGGGCCGTTTGATTCGCTGCGCGCCAGCCTTTCGTGATGACTCCATGGCCAGCGAAGTACTCCTGCAGCACCAGGCCCTTCCGTCCTCCGGCATCATGTACCGGTCGAACCATTTGGCCCCCTCCAGCAAAAACCTGGGACAAGGCTGGCAGGCAGGTGGTTTTCCTCAAACACCCTGTCGGCTCTGGGTCGTCGCCACCACCCCCTTTCCGAGTGCGACAGTGCCGGCACGAAACCACCCCAGGGGCGGTTTTTGCTTGGTCATGCCGCTGGTGCCAGAAGTATCGGAACCCCAAACACGGGGTGTTGTAGACCTCCTCCTTCTCCAACAGCTTCTTGCCGTCCTCGGGCGAGGGTGGTTGCAGCAACGTCATGTGGCCCTTGGAGATCATCACCCACATGTCCAGCTTGGTCCATTGGCTTCCGGTCACGGTCTCAATCAGCAGGTCGCCCTTGTAGTCTACCCGCACCACGATGATGCGCATCTCCTCCAACGCAGCCAACGGGAAAACCGCCAGGGCCCGATAGTCCTTGTCGTGGTGGGGCTTCAGGATGTCATGAGCATACATCCGTAATTCGTGCTCCACTGGCGCGACCTTCGGCTCTGGGTGCCCCATGACTCCTTCAGCTTCTACGGCCAATCTGGCCTGCTCCAGCCTGAACTCTTGGGTCGCCTTCTGGACTTCCTCCATGGTGGGTGTGACGCCGTGCTGCACGAGGTGCATCCCTGCTGCTAGAACCTTCGTGACACATTGCCTCTTCTCTTTCTCGGGCTCGATCACCCCCAGCAGCCCCGCCAGCTCCTCTGTCATGTGGACCATCTCACCGAAATCCCAAAGGGCCCAAGGTAACCCGTCATGTGCACCAGAGCTCTCCCGGGTCCATCACCTTCCCATCGGGTGTCTCCGAGTTGGCATCGGGCTTGATGTCCTGCCTTCATCCCTTGCCCATGGGCTTCAAGCAAGGCAGCCGCTTCCGCCGCAAGCTCTCCCAAACCATATTGCACCATTTCCTCCATGAGGGTCTCAAAGAGAATCTCCGGGTCGTTGGCTACCCTCGTGGAGGCCCACGCATAGAGATCATCTGAAGCCTCCTGAAGCTTTCCCAAGACCGGCCCTGTTGCGAGGGCTTGCGCCTTCCTCACCATGTCCTGGGCCTCCGCCGGGGCTGTAGATCCATGTCTTCCTTCGTGAGGTTGAGCCTCCCTGGGAACATGGTCAAAAACTGAAGTGTCCGGGCCCGCCACGAGGTCGGCAAACTCTTTCTCCTGGTGGGTGTAGTCGACTTGGATCATCGCCTCTGGCGCCTCCCAATGAACTCTGCCCCCAGCCTTCTCAGGTCCTTCTGGCTCGCCTTCCTTGGTACCCTCTCCTTGACCTGCTCGTCGGCGATCTTTGCCATCCTGCACCTTCGCGGCCTTGTCCTTTGCCACCCCAGCCCTGATTTCTTTCATCTTCTCGGCTGCTGATTCCTTCGTCTCAGCCTTCATCCTCCTGAGGCCTCCCCGTCTGAGCATCTGGAGTTGAACCGCCGGATCAAGAGCCTCGAAGGGCCCCCTCAAAGGCTCATGTGCCCTCTGACAGCCCTGCTGCGAACAGCCCAGGTGAGTGAGGTAGCCCCAACACAGCAACTTGCCCTCTTTATTGGTAGGGGCGCGGTCCTTTGCTCTCGTGGTCTCTTCCACCGTGAGCTTTGGCCCGAACAGGCTCTTCAGCGACAGCCTCTCCTCCTTCAAGCCACCATCTCCTCCGGCCGGTTGACCTTGTGCTCTGCTTTTTCCGGAGCCCTCCCACGTCATCTTCCAAAGCATCCTTTCCTGCCTTCGCTCAATCCTGGGCATCACTTCGGACATGAACCATCCTTCAGGTCGCCGCAAGTCGAAGGTCTGCGGGAGGTTCAAAGGGGGTCTTCCTTCTTCATCCGGCATGAGGGCGTAGAACTTAAGGTCCTGTAGCGTCATGGACTCCCTGCCTGACAGCCGCTTGATCTTCCTCAACTCCTCTTTCAGCTCCTCCAAGAAGCGCCAGTGCAGCTCTTCCCACACGTCCAAAAGGACCTGTAGCGGCCACTTGTGAGGGGCGCTGACGTGCCACTCTCCCAACAGGTTGATGGCGTGCTCCCTGACTGCCTTCCACTCCATCCCGTACACGAGCGCCCAAATGTCATTCTGGCGTTTCACTCGATTGAGCCAGTCTTCATATCGAGTAGGGGCCGTGGGCCTTTGCTCGTTCAAGGGCTTCCCTGTCCGGCTTTCGATCGCAAACTGGTCCAACTCTGCGTCGGTGCAGGGGACGAAGTCAGACGCACTCAGTGCATACTTCTCCTGCGTGCCCCAGTACGGACCAGCGATCCCAATGGCGAGCCTGGAAGTGATCTTTTGCCGGAATCCAGCGCTCCTCAACTTTGTTGACGAACCGGCCTGAGCCGCCAGCAAGGCCTGAGCGAGTGGGGCACCGTACTCTTCATTGCCGACTTGCACGGTATACTGCCCGCATGCGCGGAGCAGAAAGACCAGTTCTTCAGAGGTCTTCCCCAAACCTTTCAGCGAGCCGCCCATGCCCGTGGTGGTCTCCTGCTGGGCCTTGACCAACGTAGCCAGTTCATTCGTTTGCTGCTGGATCGCTTTGGCGATGTCGGTCATCTCGGAATGTCCAGCCCGTTCTTCCGCCCCAGTACCGGCCTTCCTGTCAGGGTCGTAGATCCCCGGGGGTGGAACCAATGCCAATTTCCTTTTGGGAGGTGTCTCAACCTGTCCCGGGCTTGAAGCAACTCTTGTCCCAGAAGCCATGCTCGATGGTGTAGGTGCCGAGCTCTCCCGCTCTTTCTCAACCACACTCCAGTCCGACAAGGACGCAGGGCGATCTTGCGCAGCAGCCTGTTGACGCCACTTGGCCAAGAATTTGGTCAGACCCTTCGTCCCCTTTCTCTGCTCCTCCGTCGCCTGCTCATAGAGATGCCGAGTGAGGTCGCCCACAGTCAACCCTGCTTGGGCTGCCAGCTGCTTGCGAATGTCTTCTTCTCCCAGCTGAAGCTCCCTCCCGTCAGCCATCTGCTCCATGAACTCCTCCAAATAGGTCTCCGGTCTGGAGAATTAATCATTCCCATTCGGGCCAAGCTGTGTTGGACTGAGGACTTTGGCGTGTGGCCTGGAGACGACACCCTCCTCCTCCGAAGGGCAGGTGGTTCCTCCTCCTTCTCCTCACGGACATCTCGCAGGAACGACTCCGTATCGTCGACCTGGTAGGTCACCTCCCGGGCTCGCCCCCGTCTCCGTGCCCGATCATCTCCCTCTCCTTCTGCCCGTTCTTCACCTTCGTCTTCTCCCGGGTGTGGGTCCCTTGCCCTGGATCTCGACCGCGAGGAACGCCTGGATGATGTCGACGCTTGCTCCTGATGAACCCCGCAGGGGCGCAACCCTTGCTTAGTCACCGCTCCGAGCCTCTGACAACCCCCATATGAGCACTTCAAAGTAGCCCGCAGTGTTAGGTACCGCACTGCATGGGCCGAGCACAAAGATGCTTGTTGGTCAGCGGGGAGATTCCCACGGTCTTCCTCCAACATCTCCACGTCCGTAGCGGCCCCATTCTTGCACGGGTGGTCACTAAGGCAAACTCGACCAGTCTCACCTTCCCATCGGACAAGGTGTGCACAGCATCCTCCAACCTCCTCCCGCTCAGACTCAGAGGCATAGTCCTTCAGCCGCTTCGCTGACTTGTGAGCCTTTGAAAAGAGCCACCCCATCGTCTTCATCCCCGTCCTCTGCGCCCCAGCAGCAGTTGAAAGGAGGTGGAAACGTTCAGGGTTGAGCTGTCGAGCCAAGGCATAGCTCTTGAAGTGTTGACCTTCTTCTGGACATGAGTCGTGTCGGCAAAGGTGCACCCGTTCGTACCCTTTCAAAGCCAGTAGGAGCTGGGCGTCTCCACGAGTCGCATCCGGGTCGAAGCTCAAGTACATCCCACTGGATTTGATCGCGGCGTTCTCCGTGACCTTGATGATGACCACATAGCCATCTCGCCGAAGGAGAACCCATCGATCTTCGTTGGCCCCTTTCTTCATCTTGCGGAGGTCAGCCGTCTCCGGGATCTCGCCGGTATCCTGGCCGATGAAGGTCGCTCCCGTCACCTCTGGCACCCCGCCCGCCATCCGCTGGGCATAGAAAGCGGTCCTCCCGCAGCACCGAACCAGGCCTCGTACGACCCAAACGATGGTCAAAAACGTTCCAATGACCAAGGAACACAGCGGCCAAGCCAACGAGAGGAAGTAGTGCAACACGAGGCAGATCCCCATCAGCAAGGCCACGCGGAAGATCATCGAGCAGCCGGTCCTGACGCTGGCCCAACTCTGTCCAAAGACCAGCCACCCTGCCCCAGACAGAAGTGTGTCCAGCAGGGTCCAAGCCAAGCTGTCCCAGGTCGTCAGGGTGGAAAACTGCACCTGGGCAGCCGCCACCGTGGCGTGGACCTGTCTCTGGAAGCAGGTGACCGGCTCGTCCCAACAGGTCACATTCGGGACCTCGGCCTCCTCCTCATCGGCCGCCTGCCACCAACCATCGATCGGCCCGATGGTCCACACCAGGCTCGCCACTACGAGCCGCCACCGCACCATGGCCCGCCCCAACCAAACAAAAGTCAGGGCCACTTAGGCCAGGAGCTGCGCATGGTGAAAAGCGTCATGCTCCAAGTAACGGTTTCAAAAACCTCCAATACATATATATATATGTATATGGGCGGGCGCTGATTAGGGGGTCCCCTCAATAAGAGGTGTTCCGAGACCTACTCCTTATTGAACTTAAAGCTGCTAGTGCTAATGTCAGCGCCCCAAGTGTGTGTGTGTGCAAGTGTAGTGTCTTGGGAAGAAGTTGAAGAAGGAAGTGATTGAAACCATAGTTGCCATTCGTCATTTGAAATTGAACAGGAAGCATGTTGCGGTACATGTTTGATTTGAGGGATAAGGCACAATTACAAATGGATGCAGGTATATCAAAGAACTTCTTTTCCAACACCATGTTTTCAATGTATAAAATGTTACATAGTGCTAAGATTGATGCTTTCACTTTCACCATCAAGGCTTAAGATGACAAGAACCCAAGGAAATAATTGGATTCCACTAATAAGGCTGGAGGCTGGAGAGTGAGCAAATATAATATGCGGAAACTAAATTACCTAATGAACTTTACAAAGTTGTAGAAAATCAAATTGTAGAAATACAAACCTCTATATTAATATCAACCTCTATAGTAGTTCTACCTCTAAAACGGATGATGAGTTGATACTGATGATTTTGCTAGCAAAATTGAAAAATGAAACAGGTAATGATTAGGATATTATTTGCAGAAGCAGGCTAAGGTCATATCTGACTGAAACTTTTTGATACAGGCTGCACCGTACTGTTTGTATGCCCTACTAATGTTATTGCACAAATTTGAAAGTGATGCCATAGCAATAAACAAGATTTTGGTATAAGTGTTGGTGATGTTAAAATAGAACCTTTTGATTATTCGGAATTTGATGTCATAGTTTTTATCAAATCGATTTCATCGGTTTGGGTGTGTATTGGAAAACCAAAGAGTTTGTCGAGCTACACTTTTTTGCCACAGGTGATGCCAAACAACTAAAGCCAGTTCAGGAGCTGACAAATACTAAAGACTATGAAACCATATGCTGATGCAATTGTTGGCACTTTGTTTGAGCATATATATTGCTGAAAGCATATAAGAAACTGAACACAGAAGAGGGTGAACAAAAGCTAAACAATATCAGGACCTAAATATTGCCAAATACATCTAAATACCAACCAGCTACGCTAAACTGATTGAGAAATACGTTAGATATACTGATGATAATATGCCGTCCACATACAACATGGCATAGTTGAATACGACGTGTAAAAATGTATCAAGTGAGGTGAAAAACATGAATATGAAGTATATAGCCGAATTCTTGATATGCAGGGAGCGTACCAAATCACAAACAAGTGTTTTTCATGTAATGTTTAAACAAATTTTCCTGTTGCTAATGACACCATTGCCTTGAAGAATGTGAAACAAATATGCTAATATGCTTCAATAACTAGAGACTGACAACGAAAAACAAACTTCATTCTTGCTTGGTGTTCAACTTGCCATTCTGCTTAAGGTGGTCGCATTGGTGGACATATTGCAATAGTTGATTCTAGCAATTTTCTTGCACAATATTATCCTGAATGGAATTGGACAGCCTTGTGTATAAGGTAAGACTCTATAGGCACAACAATGGTACCAATGATGATTTTGACAGAAAATGCAGTATAAGCTACTTTGATGGAAAAGAACTACAAAAAGCAGGATCAAATTGCCAAAAGAAAAGTAAGTGTTCAGTGGTTCTTGGATAATACCAATAATTAGTACAATTTTTGCGGGTGTGGATTTCATATTTATATGATAGGTTGAAATGTTATGAATACTTCAACTTGTCAGAGGGTTTGTAACCTTGAGTCTCACTCACTGGACAACATAGAGCCTTTGAATTATAGATGCAATTGTAGTTGTAAACAATTCTGTGCACAGATTTGGTCCAGCTTTGTCAACTGCATGGACCCAGCTTCTTTACACAGAGGTTCGAAGGCGAACGACATTGGTGCAAGGACGAGATGACGTGCTACCGCTGCTGCATCAGAAGACAGTGTGTATACTGTATATAAACATGTGTTGTGTTTATAAACGGTGTTTATAGACTACTTCTCAAACCTCGAATCAAACTACAATGTGTTCCCAACTAATCCCAAAAATATGTGATGCTCAAACCAAAAAAACAAACAATAAAAAAAACAATGTTTTCCAAACGCCCAAACCTTTGTAGGATGAACATAGTTTCGAAATCATTGGTTTTTTGATGTTTTTGGATTCTGGCTTTAGGATTGAGCATATTTCCAGATAATTTGTTGTTTTTGTTTTTTTGGCTTTCTTGCTTTAGGATTGGGCATGGTTTCCAGATCGTTGTTTCTATTGTCTGGTTTTCTGGCTTTATGTTGCAGACAACTAGTGTTCAGTCACGACAAAGTTCGTGGGGTAGCAACTTCTCGATTTGTGCGTGTGTGACTCTCATTGTTTATGTTAATGGTACTCCCAGGGGGTTCCCTAATCAGCGCGCAATGTGTATATATATATATATACTCATTTATTTATCTAGATCTATATAAATATCGCCTTGGTGATCTGTGATCGAAAATAAATTTTCTGCACTTCGGTGATGCCAAATATAGAGTAGTCGTCACCGGGTTATCTATCAACATGTCGATTGGCTTTGCAGGGTCAAAGCTTCTCAAACCACGGCCGTGTGAGCCAAACATGGGCTCCAACCTCCCCGAGGCGTCTGGAGAACCTTCCACCATCCGTGAGCTCTGCTGTTCTGCTCGCCTTCTGCTCTGCTGGCGCGTCCTGATTCCACTCGAAGATCAGGCCACGGTCGTTGATTCCATTGACCACACACACCTGCGCCAAGAATGGAGGTTGCCTGATAGTTATCTGATATTTCCCTCCCAACCCCACCCATGCACCTTCTGATTGAGCCAAACATACGTGGAAGGTCGCAAGATCATCGCGCCAACCCCCAACCCAACATAGCCGAGCACCTTGAAGGCTCCGCCCCTCAAACGCGCCACCCACCGGTAGTTGTGGTGCTCGGCCCCCGACCGGGGCCTTCCCGACAGCGATCAAGTCAGCACCGTAGAAGCCGCCCAGCTGCACCTCCAGGGTGACGTCCTCGGCCGTGCGACGCCGTCTCGGCCGGCGCCAGGGCCGGGGCGGTGCGCGAAGCACCAAACAGGGAGCGGAAGCATCGGAAACCCAAAAAGCGTGTGCAATTATAATATGCATCATATCGTTTTGCTGGAACTGCTGCACCAGCCTGACAATCGGCACACTGGCGTGCCTTCGTGCAAAATGTGTCCGCAAAACCTTACAAAGTTATACAATTTAGGCCGTCTGTGAAGTCTGTGAGCATCTGTCCATGTCTTTTACCCCAACGCGCCAAGTGCACCCCATGGTGGCCCACCGTTGGCCGTTTAGCGACCGAGCGTCAAAGGTCAGATCACCATCCTTGCCTGGCAGAGCTCCTTCTCCCACCTGAAACAGGAACCGAAAAAGCCCCGCCGTGCTCAGGAGTCCCAAGGAAATTCGACCCAATCCTTAGGGTCACTTTGGGCCTGTCGATTGCTGGGGGGTGGATCTGCCAATGATCAAGTTAAACTAGGTGACAATGACTCAAAGCCATTACAGTGAACCTGCTGGAAGGCCCCTTTCGCTGCCTCTGTGAGGTCGGCAGGTTGGAGCTCTAGTTCATCGGTCCTCAGTGTCGAAGTAAGAACAACTCAATGTCGCCCACAAGAAAATCCTACAGTACATCCAAGGGCTGAATCTATACATATCTGCGCTCTAAGCCTTTAAGCAGTCATAACTTTGTGTCCACCAGAGGTGGCTTTATTCTAGAAATCAACAAACTTGAAAAAAAAAGGCCAAAAAAACAACCAAAAAGGCACCAACAAAACAAAGAGTAACCAACAACGCAAAAAAAATCAACCAAAAAAGCACAAGCAAAACAAAGAGGGTAGTTTGGAGGGGCCGGGTAGGGTTTGTACTGGACAAGGGTCTTTTCTGGTGCCGGATCAAGTGTCGCACTGTTGGTCGCTTTTTCTTCTGGTGCCGGGTCAAACGTCGCACGTTTGGTCGCTCTTTTTCGGCGCCGGGTCAGAAGTCGCGCTGTTGGTCGCTGTTTTTCCCCTTTTTTCCCGTGGCCGGGTAAAAAGTCGCACTTTTGGTTGCATGGTTTCGCTTTTTTTCGCCCTTTTTTCGCATTATTTATGTGTTACGAAAAATAACGAAAAAAGAGCGGATAAAAAAGCGACCAAAAGTGCGACTTTTTACCCGCCAAAAGTGCGCCAGAAAGTGGACCCTCCCCCATGAGTGCACCAGAAAGTGGACCCTTCCAAAAAGTGCGCCAGAACACCCGGCTGAGTTGTTTTTGCTTGCAATTGTGTTTGTTTTTTTGCTTTTTTGCTTTTGTTTTTCTGGTTGCATTTTGTGATTGCTTTTTTTGTGCTTTTTTTGGTGCTTTTTTTCAAGATGATAAACTTCTAGAATAAAGGGGTCTGGCAAACAGAATCATAACTGGCGGAAGTTCAAAGATCTGCGCGCGTGGTCGGGGCATCATAATCCACCACTGCCAAGTCGAGCTGCTGTGTGTCCACGACGCAGCACTGCAACATGGAGCAGGATGCCGAGTGCGAGCCGAGCCAAGTACGTGGACCAAAAGAAGGGTCAATCCGAAAATGGTGCGCTGTACCCCCTCCAAGAAGCATATACTGGGGAGTGGATATCAAATGGCTTGCGGAAGGTTTCCGCAAGAAACTCCACGCTGCAATGTGTCAATTTGGGAGCCGAAAAGCCTGCAGAACATCAAACCCTCCCTCCTCCACACTCCAAGAAATCGTTTCGAAAGGCCATTCGGGAGTCTCTCTATACATCTACAGTATACTATACTTCTACACCATGAATGCCACCCTTGGCGCACCAGGAAGGAATGCTCAGCACCAGGAAGTCTCTCGCGGAAAAAAACACGACCGCGATGGAGAGAAGCCGCGCCCCCTTGCGCCGCGGATCGGCACCTCTCGGAGGGATCGGCTTTCAGCCGTGCCAGGCATTGCAGCCTCGGCTGGGGAGTCATGATGTCCGCAGCTGGGGGGTGGCATGTGACAGGTGGCCGTAATTTTTGGGGCAACCGTGCCACCTGTCACATGAAATGACCGGAAACCGGCACCGTGCTCGCCAGTTTAGACCGCGTGGATGTCCGGATGAGTCCACCGTGTGGTGAGAAGGCATTCCTCCATGCACGGGCGCTCGGTGGATCGTCAGGACCGTCAAAATGGCTGAGCCGAGTTGACCAGGTCGAGACTCTCAACCCAGCACCACTGCTTATCCACTTGGGAGTGACAAGAAGTCTACACCCCAAATCCGCCCCAACACCTAAGAGTCCACGCATTCTGAATCCAGCTTCTCCATGGGGTCTTCCAATCGGACTCCAACTGAAATCGAAAAGAAGTACGAAGTTTGGGGCATGCCAAGGCATGCTGAGGCATGCCGACTCAGAAGGGCTTCCACTTCGAAGTCGGAGCCGAGCCCAACATGCCACCCATGCCATCTCAGGACCCCAGCGCGGTGGACAGGTTGATGGCATCAAATTCCGAGAGGTGCTCCGCACAAAGCTCGAGGACCTGGCTAGGGGCTTCGAACATCCACAGCCCACACCTTCCCAAACAGCTGCACAACAAAGCCAACACCAGGTCTTTGAGTAGATTTTTTCAGTGACCATCCAAGAAATCCGGGGTACTCACCTCCAACCTGAGTCTGGAACCCGAGCTGAGAGTTGCAGAACAAGCGACCAACACTCAGCACGTTTCACATCTTTCCATCAAGCGAAATGGCCTGGAATAGTTTGGTGGGTCACTCAGTTCTATTCGGTTCCCGGCAAGTACTGCAGTATTATACCGCACAGAGTGTGCAGCAGCTAGAAGTAGGACCAATAGAACTATATAATGTATATACGGAATAATTTGTAATAGCTATATATTTGAGGCATAAACCACTTCCGCCCATAAGCCATACATCTCTCGCGTACGTGAAGCAAGCGCATTCTGCTCAGTTCCTGTGCGGAACTCATGGAGCTCCGATCCACCCCCAAACGAGGGCCGTTGCCTCCCCCAGTCGCGCCTCCGGCGCCGTTCGGCATGCCAGGATCCTGCAACCAAGGTTGGGATGAATGCTTCAACGAAAAGCCGTGGGTCATATAAAACAAATCCCCATAGATGATTCTCTCCTAGGAGGGGGCCTAAACTTAACTTCTCGCCATCTACGCGGCCATCGATGCCCCAACTGCCCAGAGCAGACCGGAACACGAGGTGGTGAAGGAGACATCGAATTTGGTGGACCAGTCATGAGGCCGCTCACTCCGCGGGCAACCCATTGAAAAAGCTCATCCCCCAACTCCAAGCCGTTTCTACAACCAAAAAATGCAAAAAGCATCAAAGAGCATCAATTGTTTGCATGGGCCGGGGTCCCCAGTCAAGCAACTTTGTACTTATATACCACGCGGCGCGCTTCCAATGGAGGCCTAACCTATCAGTACTTCTATAGATTTTTATAGTATCCTTTAGTTGTCCAGCCAGGTGACCCCGACTTCGCACCCCTTCACCTCTAAGGGGCTATCGGCTCTCGGCTTGGACACCCCCGAATGGGAGGGCCGACGCGGGCGCCTGAGCGCCCCGGCTCTTGGTTCCGGGCCCGGGGCGAACCAGGACGCACGGTTCCGCGTGAGCGTTCCAGGGCTCAAAGGCTCACAGCCGCTCCTGAAGTTTACGAAGCACCACGAGGGACCCGTGGTCGAACACAAGAAACGGATGAACAACAAACGAAGCTGAATGCGAACACAAACGGCGTATGTGACATATACCTTTGGTTTTCTTGATACTGGCGTCGTCTTCTATCTGTTTGGAATCATCTAGAGTCTGGAGGATTTCTTGGTGATGGCGGACTTCTTTTAGTGGCACCTCACAACACATGTTCAGCCGCGTCTTCACTCCAAAAAGAATCAACTAGCCACACAGTCTCGAGATGGTGCCAACCCACAGGACAGCTTGGGGAGAAAGAATCCCTTATTTTCTGGGCTTGGGGGGGTGATACTAACAAGGGGATCTCTGGTTCAATCAATCCTTATTAAGGATGGCTTGATGAAGAATTTGTCATCAGAGGAGGCCTCCCTCCACAGCACAAATGGCCCCTCTGCCTCGGGCAGCTCGAGCACCGTCCCAACCTCATGCACTAGCCAGCATGGCGTGTGGTTCTTGCGTCCAACATGGGTGGCGCTGCAGGAGAGACCCTTCCAACTGGCACGGGGTTTTACCAATGCGGCTGTTTATGGCAGTGGTGTGCGGCATCAAACGACCGAGCTACAGAAAGCCAAACGACCCATGAATCAGACACGAATCATCACGAATCCATCCTTTCCTTCGCCTTCGCGATCCAGTCCTGTCTCGGATGTGAGAGATTTACTGTAAGCGCATGGCCACTCACCCTCTAGTCTACACGCCAGCCGGAGCTGTTTTTGTGAACTGTGGACCTCTTCTTTTTCGTGAATGGGTGAGGCAACAATGAAGACTAGGCAGCCAGGTACTTCAAGACCCTTAACTTTTGTTGAGACTTCTCCCTGGGGTCCAAGAAGCTGGATTGAGGCCCAAGAAGCTGGATCATTTGGGGCCCCTTCACTGTATGTTCATGGAACTTCTAGAAGCTCCAGCCATCTGCGCCGGTGAAACACCACAGGATTTGTGGCATTGCGGTGTCCACCGCTTCCTTTGGCCCCATTGCACAACCAGTCGGGGGCGATGAAGACCTTCTTGAATAGTGTTTTTGTATGACCAACTTCAGTGAAATGAGATGATTGACTTGTAGGGTCTGGTTTGTTCCGCCATCTTCGCACCTCACCTGAAACACTTTCCTCATTGGGGCCAAGTGCGGCAGCCCACTGATTCGAGGGCATTCCTAAAGTCTTTTTCAAGCAGTAGCCGTTTGGCCCTGCCCTGGAAGCTTTGCACGAATTCTGGACTTCAGGGGTCGCCTCCACGTGAAGAGGTGGCATCCGTACCCACAATCACAGCAGGCAGTGTCTTGGGCATGCTTCCTCCATTCAAGGGCTGGGGCATCCAACCAGTCTGAAAGTCTTCATGGAACTCACCGAACTGCGGCGCCGATGCACCTAGGCGGTCTCTTTGAAGTCATCGTCCAGATCTTCAAGGGCCGGGCCCTCATATTCCTCCCACGGCGCGGCGGCGACGACGGGCGGAGAGGGCGGCTGTGACGGACGGAGCGCAAAAATGAACCGATGTTTGGGCCATCCCGAAAGCCAAAGGGGGTTCTAGGCCAAAAGCTGGAAGGTGTGTGGCCGGGAGTCCTTCGCAAATCCAGTTTGAGGCCGTGAAACTGGGAGAAGACGTTCTTGCTCAACGCCTTTTCCCCGCCTCCGGACCGCCTTCCGACCTTCACCCGGTCGACCAGATCGGACCATCCGACGTTGCGCGAACGTTCGCGAGGTCCGGCGACCGGGGGGGGGGCCTCTCCAGCTTCCTCCTTTTTCTTGTTGAACTCCGCCTGAGGGCATCGAATCCGCCGCCCCAAACGGTCCGGTCCGGCCACGGCTCCGGTGAGGTCAAAGGTACAGGTGTGGTTCTTCTTTGGGGCATGCCGGGAAGCCGTTTTTGGGGCAGGTCAGCAAGCACTTGAATGTAGACTCTTGCTCAAAAAAAACCCTTTGTATTTGAATTGAACAGCCTCTTCATATGGGGGGTTTGTTAGATGCCTTCATGTCTCCAATCTCAAGTCACATACCCCGTCGACGCTTTTTGGATTGCTCCCACAGCACCACTCCCTCACCTTCCGCAGCTCCAGGTCTGCATTCCGATAGGCGCATCCTGCCTGGCTGAGGTGAGACGTGGGAGCACCATGTTAGCACACCGGCCGTGCCAAAAACCGGATGATCTGAATGGTGAACAAATCTCCTTTGACAGACCAAACGCGTACCGTTGACCTCGCTCTTTCGTGGAAAAGAGAGGAACTCTCACAAAGTTTCCACCTTTGTATCAGATGAAAGACCAGAAACGTCAAGCCTTCCTGAATGCTGTCACCTTGGACTCCTTCCCTTTTGTCGTTTCTTTTCCTTTTTCGAGTTCTTTCCTTTCGCTTTTCCTTCACTCACCCCATCTGCGCCCCCCCAAACCCGATGCACCATGATGCACCGCCAATGCTCATTGGCCTGAACCAGATTGTAAAGCAGCTGGAAGGCCGGGGAGATCTCCTGCTGGGGAGAGAGACGACGGCGCAAACCCGCCGCATTCGGCACTTTCGGCCTGGGCGTTCGCAGCCAAATGGGCCCTGACTCGAGAGCAGGCCAGTTCCGCGAATAGCTCGGGTTCCGCCAGTCCGGCGGGCGGTTTGAGGCTTTCACATGCTTTCACCAAATCGATCCGGCGCGCAGCTCTTCTGTCAGTGAGTTGCTTCCAAAAAAATGGCAGGAAAACGGCCCAGAAGTCGTCAGAACATGTCCCCGTAGTCTCACGTAGTTATGTTGTAACTGCTGTATTATGTTGTGTTATATACTATGTATTACTTTCTCACACATTCTCTTTGTGTGAAACCCTTTGACGTAAAGTCGTTGTTG